AAGTTCCCAAAATAAAATGAAAAAAATTAGAGGGGGGTCAAACTTCTTGAATTCAATAGCGGCTTTGACAAGCATCCCCATTACATTTTTAACTCTTTTTGCTCTCAAATGCATTATCGTGCCTTTTTCGATAATCAATGGGTTTTGATTCGGACTTGCCTTCATGACTCACGCATCTTGGATCATATCAGGTACATTCTTTGGCCTAAGAATAAGTGAACACAAGTGTTGGGGTGTACCGAGGAAGACATATCCAATGGTTTATCTAAATAGGAAGAGGTAGGGGAGGTAGGGGACGAAGCTCCAAACCTAGAAATAGGGATGAAGTGCCACTCTATTATACCTATCACAACTCCTAGAGCCATAACACTACTGACTGTATAGATATTTCATTACATTCCCAAATTGACAATCAAAGGAAGAATAGGCGTCTACCAAGATGCACCTTTCCCTAGGCAGGAATGATAGCATAAGAATGATGAGACAAGGCGTCCCGTTCGAAATGGTACCTCTCGAAGTTAGGAAAATGATGGGAAGAGACCTAGGGAAGGACAGAGACAAAGGAGGAGCCCTCCAACTAATGCGGGCTAGAAATCTGTTCAAAAAATTGATACAATTTTTGAAAGTCCTTATGTTGTAAAGAAACTAGAAATGTCCAAAGGAACTATGCAAGGGAAGTTAAAGATTTCCCAATGGAAAGCTTCATAGTCAATGACAGTAAACCCTCAGCTGGGAATGAGTTCAACTCATCATATTCACAAAAGACGATACGATTGGCATACATTATCCAAATTGTGATGCTTTTGTAGTAAGGGCTGTTGTAGCACGAAATGGTCTCAAAATAATGTTAGTAGATAATGGAAGCTAGGTAAACATCATATTTGGAGCAACTTTCAACCAAATGGAAGTGGACCATGAGCTAATCCCTGCAAGCTCTCCCTTATACGGTTTCACTGGTGACAGCATCATCCGGAGAGGAAAAATCACCTAGTAGTAGAGATAGGAACAACACCTTTAACTGCTCATCATTTTATGGAGTTCTTGGTAGTAGACAACCGCTCTACCTACCATTGGGTATTAGGAAGATCAGCATTAAAGGAATTATGGGCGAGCACGTCCATTCACCGTTTTGTATGAAGTTTTCTACTGAAAATGGTATCGCTACTATTAGAGGCAATCAAATGAGTGCAAGAGAATTCTACTTGAACTCCCTTAGAAAGTCAGAACCAAGAGACATCAATTTGATTTTGGTATATATTGACATGAATGACGCTCCTGAATAAGGAAAAAC